CATGTTTTTTTTTTTTTTTTTTTTCTTGCGTTATGCGGGCCTCTCACCGTCGCGGCCTCTCCCATTTGCGGAGCACAGGCTCCGGACGCGCAGGCCCAGCGGCCATGGCTCACGGGCCCAGCCGCTCCGCGGCATGTGGGATCCTCCCGAAACGGGGCACGAACCCGCGTCTCCTGCATCGGCAGGCGGACTCTCAAGCACTGCGCCACCAGGGAAGCCCCCGGCTTTTCTTAATTTAGTTTCTTTTGCTATAAAACGATCTCCCAGGGAGCAGGAACTAGATTCTTACGCCACTTTTCTGTAAGATGTGAGCAACACCGCGGGTTGGGATCTCTAGGGACACGTCTCAGGCCTCCTGGGAGTTCCCTGGGTATCCAGTAGAGAGGAGATTCCCACGCTGGACGTTTCTACTTCGTGGTTTGCCTCTGACATTGTTCAGCTCAATCTCTCTAAAGGGTTTACAGAACGCTCTAATATCCACGATGCATTCTTAATTCATCGTCCCATCAGCCCCTTTTGCAGATGGGGAGACCTGGGCCCGTGACTTGACACTATCACTCTGTGAGGACCAGCGCCCCCAGCTCTGGCTCTGGAGAGCGCAGACGCCCGGCACCCCCCCCCCGCCCTCCCTGGGGGCGGAGTGAGCAGGCACGGGGCGGGGTCTTTCAGGTCATGTGACTCCCGGCCCGGAAGCACTCGCGCCCCAGACCCCGGGGTGACCAGGTTGGGGGCTACCACCTCCAGCGAGCGCGGAGGTCGCGCTCCTGTTTCGCGCTCGCAGCATCCGCCGCCATGGCCTGGACAAAGTACCAGCTGTTCCTGGCCGGGCTCATGCTCGTCACCGGCTCCATCAACACGCTCTCGGCAAAGTGAGTCCGGGCCTGGCCGGGAGGGGAAGAGACTCCGCGCCCTCCCTTCGCGGCTCTCCTTTCCTGGCTTCACCAGCCAGCTCAGTTGCTCTGATCCGTTCATGCGGTTTATGGACCACCCAAGGGGTACGAGGCCCGGGGAAATGCGGGGCAGGGCCGTGTCCCCGGCTGGAGGATCCGAGCCCCGGCTTTGATTCGCTGTGTGCTTGATTCCAGCGAGTCACTTTCTAACTCAGCGCCTCAGTTTCCTCATCTTTAAACGGGAGGGAGTGTCTCTCCCTCGCCCCTTCCAAGCTGGCATCAGGGGCCCCGCCCTCCAGGAGCTGTGGGCCAGGGAGGGCTACCATAAACGTCATGCGGACCGAGTGACCAGTGAGCGTGGAGGGTTGCGATGACAGAGAAGGGGGTGCACCATGGGCCCCTCTTGGAGGAAGGGTTACAGCTGGGCCTCGAAGCTTTGGTAGGATTTCTACATGTGGTGGGGACATCGAGACAGGAACAGCAAGGCCAGATCCAAGTGGATTGTAACTAGCACCAAATGCCCAGGCTGGATTTTATCCCATAATCAAAGAGGAGCTTTTGAGATGGGGAGTGACATGTTAAAAGTGATAACGATGAACCTGGTGGTCAAGGTGCAAAGTAGTTGGCTGCAGGGAAGACCATGCCAAGGCTGCTGTGTAGCAGATAAGGGGAACTGGGAGGTGGCAGTGAGGTGGGAAGGGAAGGGTCAGGTGGGAGAGACCAGGTGTAGAGTGAAGCCACAGGGCCTGACCCATAGGATCCAATAATCACTCTTGGGCTTCTGCCTGGGGGAACAGAAGTGGCATTAACCCAGGCAGGGTGGGCAGGGGGGCAGTTCAGCTCTGATGTAAGAGGGTGTGATGCACGTGGAGGACAGTAGACAGTGACCCTCTTCCAGTCAGACCTCCCTTCCACCTGAGCCCTGCCAGGCTCCAGAGCAAAGGGGAGTCACCCCAGTCACCCTCTGGGCTGCACTCCAGGCCCCCTAAGGGTGGTGGGGATGGTCGTATCTTATTCGTTTTTGAGGGTGTTTCTTCCCAGTGTACTCCATCACTGACGTGAGAAATGCCCCAGAAGAGAGGTCTGGGAGAGAAGGTTCCTGTTCAATTCATCAGGTGTGTATAAGGTCCTTACAGTGTGTGAGGCACTGCCTAGACCTAGGGAAGGAGACAGAAGTGACCGAGAGAAGGTCCCAGGCTTTGAGATGCTTAGAATCTGCAGCAGAGGAGACAGATGTGTACACCCTTGGCAATCACAGTGTCCTCCCTTCTCCACAGGAGGTGGACCTCTGGGTAAGGCCCACCTGTCTCTCTGGTTGGGCTCTGGCCGGCTGTGTCTGTGTCTTGTGCTGGGCTCTTGGGCCCTGAGGCCTCCTGAAGGGTACTCCTTTTGCTGAGCCCTTAGCTATAAAGGAAACTCAACCTGAGGGCTCCCATCTCAGGATCTGACTGCAGCAGAACAAGTCATCTGTCCATCCATCCCACAAGCCAAGGCCGCAGTCTGGTGCTTATAGGGTGGCTGTGGTGTGCCAGGGCCGCCGTCCACAAGGAGAGCTGAGTTACCTACTGAGGTAAACTGTGCTGACTCAGCTCCTTCTGTAAAAAACTCCAGACCGGTCAGGTAAGAAGCCAGGGAATCCTCAGCCCCCGGATGCCTTGCCCTTGGAGGCTGCCTGAGAGGCTAGAAAGAGGTTCCCAGGTGTGGTCCCAACCTTTGGTCCTGTCCCCTGCCCTGTGGCCTGATGTGTGGCCTCTTAGGAGCCTCCCTACCTGTGATGGGCCCCAGTATTGGACCCTAAACAGTGTTCTAAGACCAGACTGTGAGAAGGATGCTCTCAGAGGAAGAACGTGGGAGAGCAGCTGTGTACATCCTGATAGAGATTGCTGATTTGAACTCACACTCTGACCTGAAGTTTCTGGCAGGGACAGACAGACGAGAATGTGACCACAGCAAGTGCCAACCAGTTAATACACAGAGAGCTCCACGTGCCACATCCTGCCCTGGCCGCCTTTCGTGAGTTAAGTTAATGAATTCTCATAACCACCCTATGAGGTAGATAAATTCCTTGTCCCTGGATAAGGAAACTGAGGTTCTGGAAAGAGGGGCTTGCTTACCCAAGTTCAACTCAGCTATTAAGTGGCAGAGTTTATATCTGAGCCTAAGTAGTCTGGCTGTAGAATCCATGCTCTTAACCTCCACTATGGATGAGGCTGGGGACTTCTCTAGTCATCCTTAGGGGCATTTAAAGTTGTTAGAAACGTAGAAGTTATCCATTCTCATCCCCACAGTTTACAGTCAAGGTCCCAAGGAAAGTTTCGTGTGTGTGCGACTCAGCTGGTTGGCGTCTAGAACCTATAGGTCTCAGGATTTTGGTCCAGTGCTGGTCTCCTACAGCTACAGTACCCAAAACTCCCTCTTCCTTGGGGGTTTCCTCTTACATCTCCCCAGGCAAGAACAGACAAGCATGTGCCCATGGAAGTTGTAATCCTATAAGTGGTATCTCCTCTCCCTGCCATCGGGGTGCCTTCCCTCTGGGACTGGGTGACAAGCATCTGAAGCCTCCATCCCAGAGGTCACTCAGGGTTCAGGGTTAGAGTCTCTAGTAGCCTCTTGAAGTTTCTTGGCCTGTAAAATGAGCATAATGTTTCCCTCCCCAGCTTCTTGGGAGGACTGAAGACAGTGGATGAGGAAGTGGGCGTGAGCACGTGCTGCTCCTGTGCTGGGATCACAGGTCAGCTATCCGCTGCAGGAGGTCACTGCCCACTCAGCAGGATTGGTGTGCTGCAGGGAGCCGGCCTGGCCAGGCTGGGCTGGACTGGGGCTGGGGATCCTTCCTCCAGGAGGGAAAGTCACCGATCAGGCTGGCCCTGTAGCCTCGTCCCTGGGTGTTGGCAGAAGGTCCCTCCCTTCTCCTTTCTGTGGCTGCTTTCTCCCCCTCACCAGGCTTCTGCTGATGCACTTCCTAAAGACCAAACATTTGCCCTCCTCTGGCACCGCGTAGGGCTGTCTGCCTGAACCAGTGCACGTTTCGGAGCCCCACCCTCCTGAATCCAGCTGGGGTTCTGCATGTAAAGAGCCAGGGTCAAGTAGACGCTCACTCAGGAAGGCTCACACCCCCTCCTAAACTTCTGCAGGCTGTGAAGCCCACCCAGCCACGAAGGGGCCATGGGGGTCATTTCTCCAACAGTCAGGCCCACTGGGTCCGGGGAGCCTGCAGGAAGGTGGCAGGAGGCCTGCGATCACTGGGCCTCTTTTAGGGGAGGACTCTCACTGTCCTTCCTGCACCAGCTCTAACTTTTGCCTCGGCAGCCGCCCCTCCCCCCACCCATAGGTTCCAAAAGTGGGCACAGGATAATTGCTTCAGAGGGGTTCAGGCCAGCTGGAGAAAGCCTTAAATCAGCAGGGCAGTGTAGCAGTGAAAGAGCATGAGGCTTGGAAGCTATGGGATTAGATGAGTCACTGGGCCACTCCAAGCCTCAGTTTCATCTATAAAATGGGCGTGATAATCCCTGCCCCACCTTGTTCCCAGACTCCTTGTCAGATCCACTGAGGAGAGTTATCTAATACTTAAGGGGGGGGCTGTCATCATTTATCACCACGTGAGCCAGGGCCACCTGCTATGACACCCCAGAGAGTGGAGAAGCCCTGGGGCCCTTCTGAAGATCCCAAGCCAGAGAAAGAAGCTGACTCACTGGGCTTAACAGGCCCAGGATGAGAGCGGAAATGGCATAGATTCTGTGGGGAATATGGATACACAGCTAATTGGCCCGAGGCAGCCACATCAACCACATCAACCACTTCCTCAGCTTCTGACAGCCACTCCTGGTCCCACACAGACGCGTACACCTCTCGTACACCTCTCGGAACGCTGAGCTTTGAGTTTACTGAGCAAGGCCACACCAGAGTGACTCACCCCTAGTAAGGGTAACCCACCCGGAGCCCTCCGAGGCCCAGGGAACTCTAAAGGAAGCCCGCCTCTGCCAGTGGAGGGCACTTCCTCATGTGGGTCCCCAAGGCCTCCTGTCCTAGAGACCACAGCTTTCCCCAGGGTATAGTGTCCAGAGAGAATGGAGGGCCCATCTGCAGGGCTGACCTTGTCCCGCCTCAGCCAGGGGGGTGGGAAGAATCCTGAGCAAGAAGGTGATGGGTGTTCAGGAAAGAGCACAGAGCAGGGGGTGGTGCTCCTGGGTACTAGCGCTTCCCTGTGTCCCTCAAGCCCTGTCTGGTCCCTGGGTTTCTCATCTCTCAAACAAGGAGCTTCCCGAGATGATGGCTGAGATTGTCCTCCTCTTTCAGCACTTTGTGGCCCTCCAGGTGCCTCTGCGGCAGCCTGCAGGCTGGGTCCCAGAGGATGGATACTCTCCCCGGAAGCTTTCAGGCTGGAGCAGAGCTGGGGCCACACCCACCCAACACAAGGGGAAGTGGTTCCTGCTCAGCAGAGGAGAAAGAGGGAGAAGGGGGGCAGCAAAGGACTTTTAGTGACCACCTGCCATATGCCAGGTCTTATGTGTCTTATTACTTTTGCCAGTTCATCAGTGTTGGCATTATTACCCCCAACTTATAGGTGAGAAATCTGTAACTCATCCAACCTGTGAGAGTCAGAAGTCTGAGCTTTCCGTGTATCCTGCTGCCTTTTCTGAAAATAAGTTCAAGCAGATGGGTTCGGCCCTAGATCCGCCCATTGTTAACTGTATGAGCCTGAACACGGCTCTCTCCACCCCAAGGTCTGCAGTCCCTGTCTGTAAAATGAGGACCCTTGTTGTGAGGCCTAAACCACACAGCCCACATGAAGCGTTGAGGCTCCTCAGGGAGAAGCACAGGCCTGGTACAAGGTCGGTACACAGTGAATGGCGCATTCATAAACACATTAGTGAAGCGTTTCGCAAAGATAAGTGCTATCCCACTGGGGAGTGATTGCTTTCACCCCCAGATGAACCGGGCCTGGCTTTTAGCTCTTGCCCTGTGCTACCTGGGGTCCTGCTGTGACTGCACAGGGAGGCAAACCTTTCCCAGGGCCAAGATGAGAAGCCTGACTCTATCCCAAAGTGACTGCAGGCCTGAACTCCTGCCTGGCCCCAAGAGTCTGGGCAGGGCAGGCAGCCTGTCCTGACACCCAAACCCTTGGGGTGTAAACCTGCCCCAGGCACTCGGATACAAAAAGATTCCATTTCCCCTGCTGGGAGCCTGCCAGCCCCAGCCTGTTCAGGCAGACCCACCCCTTGGAGGAAGCAGACAGCGCAGGGGGAGGGGAGGAGGCTTAGCAGCAGCCCTACAGCCTGCTCTCCGTGCAGTGCCCCTCCCTGGGGAAGGGCAGGCCCAGCTGGTCCCACCAGCAGGGGATACCTCAGACTGGATGGCAAATTAGCAGTCATGGATACATTGCCTTTGGACTATAGTACCTGCCTATTTGTCTAGCGGTGTCTAGAAGTCCCACTCATTGAACAACAAAAAAAATGTTTGAACTTCTGTATAATAAGGTGCCAGGAGCAGGGGATTGAAAGCTGTGGAAGTTGCTGGATGCTGAGCTCACAGCCTCTCAAGTGACAAGGACTATGGATCCAGAAAGTGATGCAGATATGAGTTGTCATGACTGTAAGGTGCACAGGCAGTAGCCCAGGGGGAGTTCCAGGAGGTGGCCCCACTGCTACATCGGGGGTCTTGAGCCTGCCAGTCTGTGCTCTGGATGTGGCCCCGGGATGGGGAAGGGGCTTCCATACCAGCCCTTGCCCTAGGCTTCTGGTTGACCATGAACTTGGCAGGACCTCCCTTGTCCCTCCTGGAGGAGCCCTGGGAACTCTCTCTCTGACCTGCTCACTCGCTCCGGGGCAGGTGTTTCTGCGCCCTTGGTAAAGCTTGACCTCTTTGCTCTCCTTCGCTTCCCTCTTTTGCTCAGCTGCCTCACCCAGCCCCTCCCAGAGGGCTCTGTCTGTGAAAGTGAGTCTGGCTGGAGAGCAGGCCAGGCTGGGTGAGCCATACGGGTGGTATGTGTCCCACACCCACATCCCACGTTCTGTCCTGTCCTGCCCTGCCCTCCCTGGGGATCCCAGAGTCGCAATCTACAGCAGATGGGGCAGAAATGAGACCCCAGAGAACAGGTGGTTTCTGTCCTTGATGGGGATTATCTTTGCCCCTTTGGTACTGGGTCTGGTTCCAGCCTGATCCCCTGACCCAGATTTCCTCTGCCTTCCCAACCGGGCATATCAGAACGTCTAGCTGCCCATCAGCTCTCCTTTGACCTCCACCATTCCCAAGCACCAGAAGCCCTCCTACCTTCCCTCCTCACTGTGGGCGTGGGTGGGGTCTCCTACCTTGAGATACGTTTGCCATAGTCCTGTTTTGTTCACTTGCCCTGGGATATGTTCAGATCTCTTTGTAGACGTGATCTCTCCCTCCAGGTCTGTGCTACCACCAGCGCTCAGCCCGCCCTTCCCACCGCCTGCCCACTTGCCCCGGGCTGTAGGAAAGAGCTCCCTGTTCCCCTCCTCAGACTCAGGCACAGAGAAGCCCTGCCTGCACAGGATCTTTGTCAAACCCAGACCTGCACCGCTTGGCATGACCACTGGCCCCTGCTTGGGGCACAGGAAGCAGAAGGCTTCCCCACACCCTGGGAGCTGAGGCTTGTGCACAGAGGAGCCAGCAGATGGGGTGGGGACCACCATGTAGCTGCTCTGGACAGACATTGTAAGGAAAGACATTTAAGAAGAAGTCCTGAGTCTTACACTTTAGGGACCGCCACCGCCTACGAGTGGGGTTGCTACAGTGGGGGCAGGTCAGTGGCCCACTGCAAGCGGCCCTGGGTCTGCGTTGACTTGCGTCAGCAGTGTGATGTGGCGCATGCAGTCCAAGCCAGGTCAACTAACCAGGATGTCCAACACGTGGGCGGGGCCGCCCTGTTGCCTGACTCAGTCTGGGCCAGATCACGTGCCCTTGGCTCTAGGCCCGGGCCCACCAGAGTGCTTCCAGAAGTCAGCAGCCAGGGGAGTGAAAGGTTAGCAAAGGGCCGCGGCTGCTTAACCAGGAGGAGATTCAGAAGGTAGGGAAGGCTCCACATATATGAAGGGCTTTACAATGAAAGAGAGATTCGATTCCCAGGGACGTAACTAAGGCCAGCGAAAGTGAAATTCAGAGGCAGAAGTTTTAGTGACAGATGTTGGTCAGTGCAAAACGGTCGGCGGTAGCTGCCCAGAGCGCTGTGCCGTGACGGACTCTGGGCTCGGCGGGGAGCATGCCATGATCAGTGAGGCCCATCTGCCGGGGTGCTGGCTGGCACCCACTCCACAAGCGCCATGTACTTGCCACCTGCTTCCGAGCCAGTGCTAGAGAAAACCCTCTAGATCCTTCAGGTTATGGGAAGGTGACCGGGTGGTCTGTGTCAGGTGGCCATTTCCCAGGGCCCACGTGACCTTGTAGACCAGGGACTCTTGATATGGGTCCCTCTGATAGTCTGGTGAAGCCTAGAGTAGTGTTTTAAAACATGCAAATAAAAGACCAAGGATTACAGAAAAAGCTAATTGTATTGAAATAAAGTTATCAAGACATTAAACAAGCCAGTTTGTGAAATAGTAATGTACATGTGTGCATGTGCTTCTTAGCACATAGAATAGTAAGCAGTGGGTCTGATTACTGTAATTTTGGAGCAGTGATGAGTGTAAATATTACTTCACAATATCTGCAGTGACTCGAATGTGATAATGAGAAGAGCTGTGATTTCCGTGTGTGACAAAGTCGCAGGTACTGCAATATTACACTCATAAATGGAGGAAATGCTAAATTTCTGTTAGAGCTTCATGAAATTTCAGCTAAAGGGTGCCAGGCCCCCGCATTCTGTCTGCCATCCCAGGGGAAGACTTCTTGCCTTGGAGACTGGTCCCTTCGAGAGGGAGCCCCGCTCTGGGCCGAGTCCGCTAAGTCTGGTCTCTGGGCTTCAGGAGGTGTGAGCTCTCTGCAGGCCCCAGGACTGGGTGGGAGAGCGCACTGCCACACTGCAGGGTTTGACCTTCTCTCTGTCTGCTGCAGGTGGGCAGACAACTTCGTGGCCCCAGGCTGCGGAGGGAGCCAGGAGCACAGCTTCCAGCATCCCTTCCTCCAGGTATCTGTGCCTGTCCTCGCCCATCTCCGTCTCCCAGGCCTCAGGTCAGGGGCCCCCACGAGGCCATGCTGTTTGCTGACCTGCGTTGGGGGAGTCCTCCCTTGCTCTCAGGAGAGCCAGTTGCCTCTCTCTCCCTCCCAGAACAGAGGCCAGGGTGTGAGGTGCCCCTGGAAGGGGGCAGAAGGCACAGTCCCCTGTAGGAAGCCTGCACACGTCCTGGTGAGCGCTCATGCCCTGGACTCCTTGAGGCCGGCCCTCACCATGGCCAAGTCAGGACACATTTTGAACAATCCAGCCCTGTCGTAAAACCTGCTCCCCAACCACGGGGAGCCCAGACCCCACTGGGGCAGGGCAGACACCATCAATGGAAGGTAACTTATTGCTAGACTGGGAAACCAGGAGACTTAAAGTTTAGTCCAGCTCTGCCAGCAACTTGCTTTGTGACCTTATATAAGTTCTCAAGCCTCTCTGGGCCTCAGTTTCTCCATCTGGAACATGACCAGGGATTGGTCTAGATTGGTGGGTTTTCAGATCAGGCTCTACATGGCCTTAGAGTTTCCGTCGAGGTGTTTGAAGAACTTAGGGGTAGACCTAGGAGGCAGGCTCTGGCCTCCCACACAGAGCAGTTCTGCTTTTGTCTGTTTTACATGTTGGGGTTATAGGTAAACTCTTGTGTGAAGAAAGGTTATGTTTAAAAATTTTTGTTACAGAGAATTCCCTGGCAGTCCAGTGGTTAGAACTCCATGCTTTCACTGCCAAGGGCACAGGTTTGATCCCTGGTCGGGGAACTAAGATCCCACAAGCTGTGCAGCACGGCCAAAATTTTAAAAAAACTCTTGTTATAGGTGGTCTTCCTTCCAGCTTTGAAGTCCTGTTTCTGTCCCTACAGGCAGTGGGCATGTTCCTGGGGGAGATCTCCTGCCTGGCTGCCTTCTACCTACTCCGGTGCAGAGCTGCAGGGCACCCAGACACCAGCATGGATCCCCAGCAGCCCTTCAACCCTCTTCTTTTCCTGCCCCCAGCCCTCTGTGACATGACCGGGACCAGCATCATGTATGTGGGTGAGTAGCCAAGCCAGGCTGCCAAGGGCTCAGCGAAGCCTGTGGCCCAGGGGGCTGCTGGGAAAGAGGCAACCCCAGCTCATCTTCAGCTCCCCCTGCTCCTCTCCCACTGACCTTTACACAGACTGCCCCCAACCAAGGTTTACTGAGTACTTACCACGTGCCAGCCCTGTCAGCCCTGAGGACACCTCAGTGAACAGACAGGCTGGGCCCTTAGGAGCTAACATCATGTGTCTCTCCTCTCCTAGCCCTGAACATGACCAGTGCTTCCAGCTTCCAGATGCTGCGGGGAGCAGTGATCATATTCACAGGCCTGTTTTCGGTGACCTTCCTGGGACGGAGGCTGGCACTGAGCCAGTGGCTGGGTATCCTCGCAACCATCGCAGGGCTGGTGGTCGTGGGCCTGGCTGACCTCCTGAGCAGGCACGACAGTCAGCACAAGCTCAGCGAAGTGATCACAGGTGTGGCCGGGGTGGGCATCCCGGGGCTGCCCAGCACAGAGTCACTCGACAAAGCATTTTACAAGCTCTGCTGTCCGCCAAGCCCTGGGGGAGGGCACATGGGCCACCAGCTGATGTGGACATGCACCTGCTCCCGAGGTGATGGGAATAGTGTAGGGAAGACCAGCAGGGGACG